TTTTTTTTAAGCTTGGAAAATTTGCAAGCAATTTTTTTTTTTTTAACAGCGATTCCCCCCACCCAGTTTTGTTATTGTGGTAAAATACACATAACATAAAATTTACTATCTTGAGTGGTATTAAGGACATTTGTAATGTGTAACCATCACCCCCATCCATCTCCAGAACTCTTTCATCTTGCAAAACCAAAACTCTACCCATTAAACAATAACTCCCCACAATCTCCTCCCCCCAGACCCTAACAACAGCCATTCTCCTTTTTTTCCTTTCATCTTTCCCCCCATACCCCACCCTGTGGTAACTGCCACTCTACTCTCTATTACTACAAGTTCGGCTTTTTTAATTTTAATTTTTTAGATTCCACATATAACAGATTATGCAATATTTGTCTTTCTGTGTCCAGCTTATTTCACTTAGTCTAATGTTCTCCAGATTCATCCATGTTGCAAATGGCAGTATTTCCTTCTTTCTTATGACTCAGTAATATTCCATGGTGTTTGTGTCTCTGTGTCTGTGTTTAAATAGATAAGAGATAGATATTTATTTGTATATAGATAAAATTATACATACACCAATGATATATTTGTATATAATATTAATATTTTTATATAATCCGATCTACTTATGTATGTCATTATGCATATAATGTAATATTGATATATCACATTTTCTTTGTCCATTCATCCATCAACTTTTAGGTTGTTTCCATATCTTGGCTATTGTGAATAATGTTTTAATGAACATGGGAGTACAGATAGTTCTTTGTGATACTGATTCATTTTCTCCAGATATATACCCAGAAGTGAAATTGCTAGATCATATGATAGTTCTATTTATAATTTTTTTTTTAAATTTTTAATTCTTTGAGGATCCTCCACACCATTTTCCACAATGGCTATACCAACTTACATTCCCACCATCAATATACAAGAATTCACTTTTCTCCACATCCTTGACAAAACTTCTGACCTTTGACTTTTTAGTAATAGCCATCCCTAACAGATGTGAGGTGATACCTCATTGTGGTTTTGATTTCCCTGATAATTAGTGATGTTGAACATCTTTTCAAATACCTGTTTAATTATTTTTAATTGGCTTATTTGCCTTTTTCCTTTTTTTTGGCTGTGGGAGTATGAGTGTCTTATATATTTTGGATATTAATTCCTCATTGGATGTATGATTTGTAAATACTTTTCTCACTCTATAGATTACCCTTTCATTCTTTTAACTGTTTCCTCTGCTGTGAAAAAACTTTTTAGCTTGTTTGCTTTTGCTTTTGTTGCCTGTGCTTTTAGTGTCATATACAAAAAATCATTGCCAAGACCAAGGCCAAAGAGAGTTTCCTCTGCCTTCTTCTAGGAGTTTTGCAGTTTTAAGTCTTTATCCCACTTAGACATTAATTTTTGTATATGGTGTAAGGTAAGAATTAAATTTCATTCTTCCATATGTAGAGACCCAGTTTTCCCAACACTATTTATGAAAGAAATCCTTTACCCATTTTGTGTCCTTGGTGCCCTTGTCAAAAATTAGTTGACCGTGAAAGCGTGGGTTGATTTCTGGGCTCTCTATTCTATTCCATTGATCTGTGTGCCTGTTTTTATGACAGTACAATACTGTTTTGAATAATGCCGTTGGAATTTTGATAGGGGTTAATTACATTGAATCTGTGGATTGCTTTGGGTAGTATGGACTTTTTCACAATATTAATTCTTCCAATCCATGAACACAAGCTATCTTTCTATTTCCTTGCGTGTTCTTCAATTCCTTCATCAATGTTTTCATTTTTAGTATACAGATATCTCACCTTGGTTAAATTTATTTCTACAATGCTATTGTAAATGGGATCATTTTCTTCTTTTTTGTATAGTTTATATTGATTTCATATCCTGAAACTTTGCTAAATTCATTTATTAGTTTTAACAGTTTTTTGGTGGAATCTTTAGCACTTTCTGTATATAGGAGCATGTCCTCTGCAAACAAGTAATTTTGCTTCACCCTTTCCTATTTGGATGCCTTTTATTTCTTTTTCTTGCCTAATTGCTCTGGCCAGGACTTCCAGTACTATGTTGAATAAAGGTGGAGAGAGTAGGCACCCTATCTTGTTCCTGATTCTAGAGGAAAGGCTTTGAGCTTTCCGCCAGTAAGTACAATGTTAGTTATGAGCATGTCAGATATGGCCTTTATTATGTTTAGGTGCATTCTTCTATCCCTAATTTGTTAAGAGCTTTTATCATGAAAAGAGGTTTAAATTTTGTCAGATGCTTTTTCTGCATCTATTGAGATGAGCTCGTGATTTTTATCCTTTATTTTATTAATATGGTGTATCACACTTTTAAAAAGATTTTATTTATTTATTTGTCAGAGATCACAAGTAGGTGATCACAGGCAGAGAGAGAGGGGGAGGCAGGCTCCCCGCTGAGCAGAGAACCCAATGCGGGGCTCCATCCCAGGACCCTGGGATCATGACCCGAGCCGAAGGCAGAGGCTTTAGCCCACTGAGCCACCCAGGCGCCCCTGGTGTATCACATTTTTTATTTGCATATGTTGAACCATTCTTGCATTATTTCATTTTTTTAACATCTTAATTTAATTTAATTTTTTTCAGTGTTTCAAGATTCATTGCTTATGCACCACACTCATTGCTCCATGCAATATGTGCCCTCCTTAATACCCACCACCAAGCTTACCCATCCCTCAACCCCCTTCCCCTCCAAAACCCTCAGTCTGTTTCTCAGAGTCCACAATCTCTCATGCTTCATCTCCCCCTCCAATTTCCCCCAATTCACTTTTCCTTTCCTTCTCTTAATGTCCTCTGTGTTATTCCTTATGCTCCACAAGCATAAAATTTCTTTGTTTTTACAGAATTCGATAACAATTTCCACCAATGCGTTAACTAGAAAGAGTTTTCATTTTGGTTAATTGAAACACAGATTTTGATTTATGAGTAAAATACATGAACTTTTAAGACACCAATAAATTCATAGCTTTTTGAGAACCTGTGGGGATATTTTATAACGTATTTAATAATGCCTTTGCTGAAATGAATTTTAATATTTATCTTAAAACAATAATTCAACTTTAGCCCTTTATAATTAAGACACTATTACTAAAAAAAGCATAGTAGTCATTAATTTGTTCTCTTTGGTTGTTGAAGTATATTCTAGCCAGTATTTTATCACCCTTTCCATTACTTTTATCAAGCGACTACTATAATATTAGTGGGAGAATCTGGAATCAATTGGCTCCCAACTAAAGATAATGTAAAATTACATTGATTTTGTTTTCTGAATCAGAAAGCAGTGCATTATCGGGGAACATTTGGAATACAGAAAAAATATTTATAAAGAAGTAGTCCTCCAAAATTTAAGCACATTAAAAACAATCACTATTAACATGTTAGTATATTTCCTGTATTTTATAGACATTTTTATATATGTATTAGCAGGTATATTTGTGTATAAACATAGCATATACTAAGTCTTACATATGTAGACATCAACCTGGATATACAGTTTACATTTTTTTACTTAACATTAGATAGTATTTTCACATATCACTTATTGTTTAATACCATGGTGCAGTTAATGACTGCGTAATATTTCCTTCTGTAGATATACCATAATTCATTCAACCATTCTCCAATTGTTGGACATTCAGTTTGTTCCAAATTTTTTTAATGTTATAAATTTAATGAAGTGTAAAACAAAAATGGAAGTACTTCTGAAAGAGAGGAACACAGGCATAAAAGTGATGAACTGAGGTATTATTGAAAGAGATGACTATCATGGTGATGTGCCAAGTGGATTAAATAGCAAGATCCAAATCAGAGAGACCCCTAGTGGAAGAACATGGAAGTCAAGGGTCAACTCAGGCCCTAGCTTATAGGGACAGAAAGGAAGAGATGGATACAAAAACTACTGAGACGACTGGGTGGCTCAGTCATTAAGTGTCTGCCTGGGCTCAGGTCATGATCCCAGCATCCTGGGATCGAGCCCCACATCAGTCTCCCTGCTTGGTGGGAAACCTGCTTCTCCCTCTCCCACTCTGCCTGCTTGTGTTCCCTCTCACTGTGTCTCTCTTTGTCAAATAAATAAAATAAAAACTATTGTGTTAGGACCAGGACTTGGCAAATGATGAGCACTCATGAGATATGAGTCAGGAAACTCTTCAGAGTTTAATTTGTGCACTGGGGAGAATTAACTTCATAAATAGAAATTGCGAGATCTGGAGGAGGGGCTTATTTGAAGGTAACTTTTAGCATGTTTACCATGACACCAATGTTATGGTAGACTGAAGCTTCGATGGACGCTTGGGCTGGAGATGAAAGTACAATTCATAAATGGGTAGAGAATGTAATGATGAATGCGTGAGAATAATTGATACATTTGAGGGTCATTCAGCACAGGTGATGGAAAACAGTTGAAGTTTAGGAGAGAGAGAGAGAGAGAGAGAATGAGAAATCAGGCAATAGAGTTCTTGAGAGCCCAGAGAGAAAGCAAACATCAAGAATGAAATCCACAGTGCCAGGAGTCAGAGACATCGGTGCTGAAGACAAGCTACTGAAAGGTTAATTGTAACCTTGATTTTTTTTTTTTTTAACTGGTGATATGACCCTAAGCCAACTCCAAAGGCATTTGGGCGCAAGTAGGTGGTCACTATGATTTTGAAAATTCAGTGATGATGGGAGAGGAAGAGTGGGATGTGTATCTGAGGCGGTCAGAGGAGGTTGGGAGGCAGTGGGTTCATGTGACCTCACGTGACCCCTCTTCTCCTTCACAGACTAGCTCCTTCCAGCCAATCCAGCTTCTCACCAGAAGGCTACCTAGGAAATGGAAAAAGTATGAATTCATATAGGCACCTTACTTCATTGGCCTAAAAATTACTATTGAGAAAGAAAGAAAGAGAGAGAAAGAGGAAGGAAGAAAGAAATCTTTTACCTTTTAGAACTTTCAAAGAGATAATTTATTCAAAAGGGAAAAAAAAATCTTTGTTTTTTCAGGCAACCACTGAGGAAACTGAACAGAACAGTCAAGAGGATGTAAATGATGGCGAAAAACCACAGAAAGGAAATACAGAACTTGCCCCATCAGGTTTGTTCCCTGACAAACTGGTTTTAAGGTAGATCATGGTAACTGTTAAGATAACAATGGGAACAGTCAAGAATTTCTCCCACGGAGCCATAGAGAGTAAATCAAGGCTCTGTAACTGGTGTGATTGTGCTGCCACCTAGAGGCTTCCTGGGGAAATCCATGACCATGTCATTTATTTTCCTGTGGAAACAGGAGCCCATCCTTTTGGCTACTGTGGTATTTTTTGAAAGTATTTCTCCGTCATCAAAAAGGTTATATTTCCCCCAAACAAATGATGCTGAAAACTGAGGGTCCTATTTAAACACACAGAACATCATCAGATAATAAAGATATAAATCAAAATATATCATAAAATAGACGCTAAAATGAAAAAGCTGGTGAATAGTTTAAAAGAATTAAGTAATGCCCCCCATATGGACAGTGAGTATGAATAGAGACCCACTGTTCCCTAAAGTAATATTTCTCAGTGCTTTTAACAGATTTCTTCTCTTGACAAGCCTAAAACGCTCTTACTTTCTTCCAAATACCAAATTATTTTAAAATAATTTAAAATAATTTTTTAATTTTAAATTTTTATTTTAAAATAATTTTTTAAATTTTTAAAATAAATTAAATTTTAAAATTAAATTTAAAATTAAATTTTAAAGTAAATTAAATTTTAAAATAAATTTTTAAACAAATTAAATGGCATTACTAAAAATTTTAGCACATGCTTTTGCAAACTAGAGCGCACCTCCACATTTTGATACACGCTCTCACTCTAAACTATACCTAATTCTTCCTTATATATCAGAGAACACTTGATTTTCATTGCATTATACGTGCCCCACGATCCTTATCACATTCCAATTATGAAAATGTACTGTTTAAAAGGAGCATTGAAATATGAAAGAAAGACTCGGGCTGCCACTCAGCCCTTTGGACAGAAACTGTCTTTCAATGTTCTCCTACTCAACCCACCTACTGTAATATTTTGTGTCAACATTTTGTTGATTCTGCGACTCTTATTAAGAATTTAAATTTCCCCTAGTGGGGCCCCTTGATGTGTTTTGCGTTGTGTGATTTCTTTTTTTCATGTCTTGAAAGAGCCTAGAAAATTCTGGCATCTCAGGCTCTTTACCACCACTCATCTCACTGCAGTCCACCTTCTTACGGCCGAGGGCAGGATACGTGCTCAGTGGACTTCGTGGCATGGCAGGAAAAATGGTCCCTTACATGGTTCTGTTTTTCTTCTTAATGTTTCTGAACATAACTCCATTTTCAGAGCCACAGCATTTTACGACAACCGTGACCCGATCCAGCCCAACCGTGCCCTTTGTGGAGTTTTCCTCCAGCGCCCAGCTGAAGAACGATGCACCAGAAGAAAAAGACCAGAAGAAAATGGAAGATGAGATGAGTGGAAAGGTGGAGTTGGTGCTGTCACAAAAGGTAAGTACACGGTGGTCTAAAGCAGTTAAATCCAGGGGGCCTGGGTGGCTCAGTGGGTTGAAGCCTCTGCCTTCGGCTCAGGTCATGATCTCAGGGTCCTGGGATCGAGCCCTGCATCGGGCTCTCTGCTCGGCAGGGAGCCTGCTTCCTCCTCTCTCTGCCTGCCTCTCTGCCTACTTGTGATCTGTCTCTGTCAAAGAAATAAATAAAATCTTAAAAAAAAAAATAAAAATAAAGCAGTTAAATCCAAAGTCAGTGTGGCTTCACGAGGTAGCTGGTTTATGATGTGAGCGGATGTAAGTGGTGCTTGTTCATAATGAAGATTTAGTTTCTCTCCGAACCTGTGCCTGTCTTCAATCTGTATTTTTTTTTCCTGAATACAAATATACTATGTGTCCCTTATAAAACAATGTAAATGCATATAGAGAGATGTATGCATCAGGTCCTATTGGGTGCTCCAGCAGACCGTCATAGACCAGAAGTCTATTTCTCACAGCTCTGGAGGCTGGAAGTCCAAAGTCAAGGTGTCTGGTGAGAATCCACTTCCTGGTTCACGGATCTCTGTCTTGCGGTGGCCTCACTTGGTGGGTGGGGTGAGGGAGGTCTCTTGAGTCTCTTATAAGTGCATGAATCACCTATGAAAGGCACCATGTCCTCCTACCACCATCTCAAGGGTTAGGGTTTCAGCATACAAATTTTGGGAGGCTACAGACAGTCCGTAGCTATACATTTTTGTAACTTATAGTAATGTGGATACAAATGTAACAACTCTATCAAGTAATATATGTAAACATATAAAAAATAATATATAAATTTAAAAAAAATAGAAATAGAGCAACAGAGAGAAAAAGTCACTGAAACCTACCTCTATGAGTAACCATTGATGTATACTGATATGTATGTATCCATTCAATATCTTTTAAATTTTATTTTAAATAATTTTTTAATTATGCAGGATTATATACATTTAAAGAAAAATGGAATATAAGTTCTAAAGCTTTGCAGTTAGGTGTTAGTTTCCTGTGCATGAAGTCGCTTATTTGCAGCTTACGAAACATTCTCTTTCCAATATTTACCTGTTTTATAACAATGGTGCTTCTGATGCCTCCGGACCTACATAACAAGGAAACTAGAAAATTATTATTCTGATATAATGAGTTTTAATGTCTTGTTTTTATTAAATTTCTTCCTTGCTTGGAGTCTCATCTCATTCGTATTAATTTTTTTTTTCAGGCACAGTCTAAAAGTCTTCATCTTTTATGCCAGTCGCTCTCAACCTTGGTTGCCTTTTAGAATTTAGAAACACCGAGCATGCTGCATAGCAAATAAATCAGAATCACTGGGGTGGGGGGGGTCCCAGGCATCTGTATTTTTCAAAGCCCCCCCCCCCCCGCCCAGGTGATTCTGGTAGGCCACCAAGGTGGAGAACCATGGACTAGCACACTGGCTTACTCTATGTGGTACTATTCCAACTTTAAAAATTCACCCTAAGTTGGGCTGTCACTTTAGAGTAAAAAACTGACCCTGTCTATATAGTTTCAGTTCATCTATCATTTACTTGGTCAGTATTGACTGTGCACTTACTAGGAGCCCAGCACCGTACCAGATGCTTGATATTCAACAGTGAACATCAAGCTGACCTTAAGGAGCTGACCGTGCTCTTGTCCTTGTAGATCCTCGAGAATGCCTATTGCTATAATGCCCTTGGGGAATTTCAGACTCTAGTTATTCCCCACTTTTATACATACAGGATGAAAGAATGGTCTAGATGTCTGAAAGGAGGAACTAAACTGTAGGAAGACATTGGGGACAGGCAGGATTTCCCACCTTTGGAGATTTGTGCGTTATCCACATTACACTTGTAAACATTGTTTATGTATCATTCTTCCAAATGGACCCCCCCCCCACTTAAATCTAAACTGAAAGGAAAACTGTATCATTGCTAGAGAGTATTTTTTTTTTTAATGAAACAAAGTAAACACAATAACTGAAGAGTATTCATCTGGGTATCTCATCTGTGTGGTCTGTCTTTGGGCCACCAGTATCATGTCTACCATACTATGGAAAAAGTTGTTTTCAGGGATTCTTAACTTTGTGTGTGTATGGACCATTTGGCATCTGGTAAATAGTATTCTAAAGATAGGATCTTTAAAGCATAAAATACCCAAGATTACCATGTTTTCCTTAGTATCCAGTGATATTAAATATATACCCCCTACATTTTCTTCTGTGGACTGCAATTAAGCATCTCTGCTAGTTGGTTGGCAAGTGAACTAATGGTCTTGGAATCCAGTACTTTTCTTATACCAAATGAATCCCTGCCCTCTCTTTTCCCTACTGTGGAGTTAGCTCTTAGAAAAAGAGAGAAAAAGGTGATCACTATTGCAACAGATTGTGTTTTCCGACTTCACTTGCGAGTGTTCCCTTTATCAGACAAAGTGCCCACGCTCACAGGCTGACCTTTTTTTTTTTTAAGATTTTATTTATTTATTTGACAGACAGAGATCACAAGTAGGCAGAGAGGCGGGCAGAGAGAGAGAGAAAGGAGGAAGCAGGCTCCCTGCTGAGCAGAGAGCCCGATGTGGGGCTCGATCCCAAGATTCTGGGATCATGACCCGAGCCGAATGCAGAGGCTTTAACCCACTGAGCCACCCAGGCGCCCCTCACAGGCTGACCTTTTTACATAATGGTGATTTTTGAGCATTTCAGCTATTAACATTCATTTACAACTGAGCATTACCGAAACTTTTTTTGCCAGACTCAGTGAAGGAGGAAATAGTATGGGGTTAAAATTTGGAGGTTGTCAACTTTAGTAAATCTAAACTTTAGCTTTTTTTTTTTTAAAGATTTTATTTATTAATTTGACAGACAGACCACAAGTAGGCAGAGAGGCAGGCAGAGAGAGAGGGGGAAGCAGGCCCCCTGCTGAGCAGAGAGCTTGATGTGGGGCTCAATCCCAGGACCCTGGGATCATGACCTGAGCTGAAGGCAGAGGCTTTAACCCACTGAGCCACCCAGGCACCCCCTAAGCCTTAGCTTTTGCTGCATGTTTAACATTGAAGTTCATTTGGCCATCTGGTTGACCTCTGTAATGCACAATGAAGCGATTAACTCTGTTTTCTTCAGGATTCCATTAGGGTTGAATGTATTATTCATAAAGAAAAATAAAATTTTACCAAGAAGAAATTATAGACATTAAATCATCCTGAGAACCAAATCACAGATCAGCTTATGATGAAACAAGCACTCTACAGCTTCAATTGCCTTGTTGACTATCAAATTAGTCTATTGGGAGAAGAGCCACCAGCCAGAGTGAATCTGAGAAATCCCTGTAAGCAGCTGAAAAGACATAAACTGATACAACCAGGCCCCTCCTTCAGATCTTTGCTCAGAATCTACTGACTTATTTTAGACATTAGTTTAGTAATCTGGAATCAGTTGATTGGAAGCAACGAATCAGAAGGAGGGTACTTTTACCAAAGGCCAGACTGGGGGAAAACAAAATAAAACTAAACAGCAATAAAAAAAAATCTATTTCTACAAAGCAAACATAAGAATTTTTAAAGCCTGTAATTTTGGAACTATTTACCATAGGGACAAGTGGTCTAACATGCCTCAAAAATCTCGTAATGGCATCATTGCTATGACACTAGTTGATAACAGTTATTTAAATGATACTTCTTTGTTTTTAATGTGCTTCATATAAGTTTGTGGGAGGGCTCTGTAGTGTCTTGAGAATAATGGCCGTTAGAAAGTGATATTATTTTAATATTCAGCACTTACATAGTAAGATTTTTTTTCTTTCTTTTTTGTGGAACATCTCACTGCCTAACACTACAAAATACTGTATTATGTAGTATCAGGAAGAGAATATGTGATTGATCAATCAGAAAATGAGACAGAGTGACGTACAATCCCAATGATGGAATAGTATCTTCTGGGTTTGGAGAAGAGTGATCATCATATTTTTATGCTCCAGTTTGATATCTCTGAAAAAAATCTGCCTTTATATTAATGTAGAAAGCACAAAGGGGTTTTGGGGAAAGGGTGAACATTTCCATTTAAAAGTCAAATGTTTGGTTTACTGACTTCTGTAATAGCCATGACTTCTTAAATTTTATTTCACCTATGCATTTTTTAATGGACAATATTTTTAACGTTTCTGCCTGTTTGCCCGTGATCCAGGTGGCAAAGCCAAAATCACCAGAACCAGAAGCAACCCTGACGTATCCATTTCTGGACAAAATGTCTGAAACCAACCAATTACACTTGCCAAATCTCTATTCTCAAGGTAAAAAGAAAGAAATGTTTTATTTAAGCGCTACGTGTTCTGCTGGGCTCATCTATAGTAAAATAGTCTTTATTTTATTTTATTTTATTTTATTTGTTTAATTTAAATTCAAGAACTAACATATAGTATATTACTAGTTTCAGAGGTAGAATGTGGAATTTAAGACAAAATTCGTATGTGGAATTTAAGACACAAAACAGCGGATTGTAGGGAAAAATAAGACAAAATTAGAGAAGGAGACAAACCAACTGAAATATCCTTTATTTTAAAGGAAGATTACTTCCTTTATGTTAACATCCCATTAGCCGTGGTGCTTGTGAGAGGCCATGGTGGCTGAATTAAGTCACTTCAGAATGGAAATCGGGGGTTGCACTCTATGTTTGGCCCAGCCAGGAACCCAGTGGCCAAAAGCATTTTGTCAGCAGAACACCATAGGCACTACAGGGCCTCTGTAAGTGTTTGATACCTTAAAATAATTTTATTGACTCCAAACTGTCAAAAAAAAATTACAAACTAAGAAAATAACTTCAATAAAAAGTATATCATCCTAATATTTTATCAACTTCATTAATTGTTAATTATCCCATCTTTATAAAATAGTCATTGAATCTGATGATTTGACTTTTTAGAAGAAAATCAGATTTTATTACCTCTTAATAATTCCTGGGTATGTATGATGATTACTGAGAAATCATTCACAGGCATAGATTAAATATGTTCCACAAATTCCCCAGGAGCCCCTTAGGCCATGTATAAGTTGTGAATGCAACCCTTTACTCTTTAAAAGTCCTACTCGAATACCTTTATCCTTATGAGACACTCAGGTGCCCACAAACACCAGAAAGAAACGGGGTCGGGGAGTGTCCTGAGAATTCCATGATTATTCTTCAAAACAGATAGACCACTAGGGCTTCCTGGTCTGAGTTCTCTCTACAGATATGAAAATGGCTAGAGTTGAGGCAAGAACTGTGAGGTTTTTGTTTTTCTTTTTTTAATGTACTCTTTCCAGCACATTTTATAGATTTATCAGTTCAGGCAAAGAGAAGATGGTACAGGGTCATTGTGACTGGGGATTTATTTTACTTTCCTTTTTTCAAGGATGGGCAGCCATTTTGGGGCCGCCATTGGCAGAATCTGGGTTGACTTCCATTAGCTTTAGTTGAATGCTGGGAGAGAAGGTGTGCTCTACTTGAGTAATAGGAAGTCCTTGGGAGGGAATTAATTAGTACATACACTGATGATCATTTGTTTCTAATTGTGGGAACAAGTTCAATACTGTCTTCAAAGCATTTGTTTTAAATTTGTCAGCCCTACTGTCCTGAAGGGAACTGACAAAAATGAAATCTCATAACTGGGTCAGCAATTGACCATATTTAGATAGAGTTTAATCCTGCCCCATTTCTCCCACTTTTTAATTGTGTGGATAAGTAACACAGAGAGGAAGTAGGTATTTTAAGCCATCTTAATTAGTTTTGTTGTCTCACACATTTTGCCACCCCGTTACATTTTGATTTTATAAAATGTGCTGTCAATGAAGGGACTTTCCATTGTGCATTAGCAAAGTGGAGTGACACTTTGTGGTAGCCCTAGAGCATCTCGAAGTTTAGTCTTCAGGAGAGAATTATATTTGGCGTGCACCTGTTCTGTGCTCTCGTCTGGTTCGGGGAAGCCGGAAGGACAGCTGCAGTTTCTGGAGACAGAATGCCCAGGTTTGAATTCTTGCCTGTGTGGTTCTTAGCCATGTGATCCTCCCCACCAAGTTGTCCTAATCTCTGATCATCCCCTGTGAACTGTCGAAGGGAGATCACAGAACTACCAACCTCATAGGGGTCTTGGAAGAATTAAATGGGATCAACCAAGAAGAGCGTTTAGCTCCACACCTGACCCAGAATCAGCACTAATAATACAATCTGGTAGTCTCAGAGGAGTAGCAGTAGGAGTAGAGTTACGGAGCCAGACGCCAGGCCATAAGAGGCTATTCTCAAATGCTTTTCTTAGAACAAAGGTGTATGTTGCAGAGATATGGCTCTAAGCGGTCATTTGCAAATAGGAGTGTGGGCCAGAGTTCCCCGCAGGGCTGGTTGACACACAGGTCTCTGGGCTCCGCTCCTCCAGTGTCTGGGGAGGTCTGGATGGGGGCCAAAGGATTTACATTTGCAATGTAAACTTGAAAGACATAATTTGTCTTTAATTGGGAGAGGAGGAGGGAAGTATAGGACTTTTCCCAGATATACAAATTCCATGGGAATGGGAGGTCCAGGGTTCCGGGTACGGAATGAATGAGTCATGGGAATGGGCATGAAAGGCACAGTGCAGGAAAGAGTCACTGGTGTTGTGCTCGCGCTGTGTGGTGACAGATGGCAGCCACACTCGTGGTGTGTGTCCGTGCTACAACGTACTGCATAGAGTTGTCGAGTCGCTATGTTGTGCACCTGAAACGAATGTAACCTTGTATGCCAACTGTACTTGAACTGGAAGAGGTCCGTGGACCTGTAAGTGACTAGTCTGTGGTCACACATCAAGTCCAAAGAAGCTGTAGGTTGGGATCAGGAATCCTGGAGCCATACCTGTTATTCTCTCCTCTAGACAATGGCATCTCCTTCATGTTTATAAACATGTCTGTTTATAGACTGATTATACCAGCTACCGAAGATCTGGTGGGGAGCCTGTATATTTCACAGATTTCCCTTAAACACACACAACACACATACACATGTAGTCTTTAAATACTCTGAAAACATTCATAAAATACATTTGAAGGTGACAGTTTTCCTTTTCTTCACTGTCTCCCAACAGTTCAAAGATATATTGGTGTTTATGGAAAGTATGTGCTCACTCTAAAAACCGCTGTCTTTATCCACCCTGAGAATGACATCCAAGTGCACAGAACCCAGTTTAGGGATGCAAATGCTTACCGTGAACTTGTGTCTGTCCAATGCCGCTGAGTTCCAGATCAACTGTAACTCAGTTGATGCATCCAATAATCATGGAACTCATCTCCGCTGTCTTTTATACTTTCCTGTTATTCTCCAAAAGCAATGTAAACTGTGCATTTCGCCCTTGCGGAACATGTTATCCTGTCATTTGAGATTTAACGTGTTAACAGTTCCACCATTAAGTATGAACCTATAAAATAGCGCCTAGCACCGAGGGAGACAAGCCACAGCTTGACCTGTTCCATGTCTGCTGGCTCTTGCCCATGTCTTCGGGTTTCGAACATGTTTTATTGAGATGTATTGTACTTTCAGATTCACTCCTTCTCAATTCTTCTGTCAACTACCGCCAGACCTCCGTTAGTCCTTGGGAGTCTGGTTCCGCTCGGTCCTCACCCCTGTTCTCACGGTTTTCTGTTTGTTCTGTCCTGCCATCTGATCTAGAGTCCTCTGGCCCTGCCAGCATCCCGCTGAGAGTTCAGAACTCTTGGCGACGTTCCCAGTTTTTCTCCCAGTCAGGTAAAATGCGTCCTGGGGAGCTGTATTTCCTCTGTGCAAAAATCCATGTTGGGGGCAGCCAATAATGTCTGGTATTTTTCCTCATTTCTGATTGCGGAAAAACAATGCTTACTTCTGACACACAGTTAGCAAAGAGCTCGTTCTCTGATAACCACTCCGCTTCTACTAAAATTAGAAGGAAATTCATAGAAATTTTTGAAGGAAATTTGTAGAATTTTTCTTTGATGCTAAAAATCTAAAGAAATAATATTCAGCTCTTTTTTTAAAAAAATAGGCATTCAAAATCATTTTTTGTCCTCTTCTCTTTTTAAAGAAAGGTTAGAAGCATTTACCAGGAATTGGTAATGGTTCTCTTGTTAACTGTGTCCCTCTCTTTACTTCCTGGATGATGTCTGGCCTCTCTCTGTGTGATAATTCTCCATGTCAGACAGTGAGGGAACCGGGCTAGCAAGTGGGAAGGGAATGCAGGGGGCATTAAACACCACCACCTACAGTTTTTGCTTCCTATAGTCTAGTCTCTGGTGCTAATTGATGTGATCAATCATACTACACTCGTCATAACTCCTTTCGGTGATGGGTACAGATTGCTTCAAGGGTCTGCTTTATTATGATTTTCTAATGCTCTTGGCTTACAAAAAAAAAAAAAAATGATCTCAGGCTGACATAGGAACCACATTCCACTCGGAGGACCAGAGAAAAATACTGTTAGAAGCTGCTCACGTTGCGATCTTTTGTCTTTCTTTTTTTCTCTCTGTGCAGTGGATTCTCCAGGCAGTGAAAAGTCACCTGTAACTACACCTGTAAGTAGCTCATCTTAAGGAATAAGATGATGCATTGAGTGTGATTTTAATTAATAAAGTACTTGATTTGCTGAAAGCGGGTCCAATCAAAAACAGGCTTGAAGTGATTATAAAAGAATAATTAAAAGGCATGTATAATGCTGTCAGATGAAATTTGAAGAAAGACACAGATTATCATCAGGCAGAGTTGTGATCATGCTTAGAAACAAAACGGTAAATGAGTTGGGAAAGTAAAATCTAATGAAGGTGACAATCAGAATTAGTATTAAAACATGCAACTTATCGAGGAGTTCAAAATCATTTTTTTTTATCGAGGACAATGCTTGTACATGGTGTAGTGTTGGCTCTGGAACTCTCTGGAAGATCCAGGCTGTCACTCCCTCTGACCTACTGTCTCCCACCACACTCAGTTGTAAGCTCCACAACGCGGGGACCCTTGGCCAACTGGTATCCCTCCCTGGCCCCTAGTAGGTCCTTAGCAAGTAGTCACCAAAGGAAGGAACACGATCGCTTTTCTTTCTCTTGTGTATCACAAAGTATCTTCCTCTTGGTCTTCCCCTTCAAATGCTCACTGTTTTTCTTTTAAACAAATATTCCCTATTTTCTTCTGCGCTGCCTAGTGAAATCTGAAAATTAAATAATTCCTAGTTGTCGCTCTTGTTTTCCTCCTGGACTCCTTATGGCTTTATTCACATGACCACATCCTTTTTCCCAAGAAGACAAAGAAGGGCCATGCCCTTGAGAGAGGTTCTGAACATTGAAAGTGCTTCCAAGTTTCAGGAAAATGCCAAGTGGAGCCAACCTCTAACTAACCATTAAGTCCAGATTTCTTATCTGGAATCCCATTTGGATGACATCTTATGGTCATCCAAGGAAACTTGGGAAGTTTTGAATTATATACAATTAAATAGCTTTTCTCCCACATAACATGTCAGAGCCTTTAGTCTGCTCATGTGCAGTATGAATCCCAAGAGTGGCATATAGGAAATACATTTCCCTACCCTGTTGGCCCACCTTGCCTTGACTTTTTATGGATATCACCCTAACTGCAGGCACCATAGCAAGAGCATCAATGGGGTATACAATACTCTTTATATTGTTATAAATCGAGCACCAGCCATGGTCTGGCCTGCGTTCTCAGCCTGGAGACACTTCCCTGGGCCAGCCCAGCCTTCGGGCATCCAGATGGTAGCATCGATCTGTTGGGGGCAGGGCAGGGCCGAAGGTGAGCTGGCCCAGGTATCTTGGGCAGTAACTAGACCCATTTAAGCCTTGGCCAGGACTGGCCCTGTCTAGCTTCTCAGGCAGCCCAGGTAGATAGATTCTGCCTGCTTCCCATCCTGCACCAGACTCCCCCGCTTCTCCCTAAGACCCCCCCCTTCTCTAAAACCTCCCCCCTCATCTTGCTGCTTCTCTCAGGATTCCCAGGCAGGCAGTTCTAAGTGCCTCCCCAAACCACACCCATCAGAACAGAGGGAAGAGAAGCAGCACAGTTCCTGGGGAATGTGGCTTGCCTTGGTGGGGAGAGGCCAAGTTCAAACACCGCAGCCCCCACCCCTTTAGGAGGTTTCCCAGAGACCAGCTGTGATTTCTCTCCCCGGCTCTGCTTCGGGTATTCTGTATTGTGGGGGCGCACTTTGGTTCATGCCTCCTTCTCTCATTATTCCTGTTAACTCACTTGGTGCCAAACTCACAAAGACCTTTTTACAAAAAAAAAAAAAGCCTTTGGGTTTGAATGAGGGCAGAGATCCCCTCGTTCCTGGATCACAGGTGATGCTGGTGAGCACTGGCCCTTGAACTAACCTGATGGAGAAACGCAGGAGCAGTATGAATGCTTAGTCCTATAGTGCAGCAAACACCGCTTCTCACAAAAGTCCACTCTGCAGCGTCCCCATGTGCTGGGACTAGGATCCATATGCAGAACGAGGGTCTCAAGCTCAGAAGCGTGAATAGGTTTAAGAAATCGCTTCTGAAAGAAAGGGAAACCAATGCCTTCCCCTGCCAGGGGCTAATTACGTCCATGTTTTCATTAGCTCCAAAAAGGGTCACAGCATCATACAGGCCTCTTGGAAGTCAACCAAGGAGAGATGAAGATGAAAAAATAGTTTTCGTTGACAAAGAAGGTCATTCAGTATGTTAAGGGCTTCTGCTTCCGCTTGTCCATCTAGTGCCGGTTTGTAAGCTGATTGTGTCCCTTGCCCCAGCCTGGCCTTGAGGACATGGCTTAGCTCTGATCACAGTTTTATTTTCTAAGCAGTTTAAGTTCTGGGCATGGGACCCAGAAGAGGAGCGCCGGCGACAGGAAAAATGGCAACAGGAGCAGGAACGTTTGCTTCAGGTAGGACTGGGGTCACTGCTTTGTTGTTGTTGTTGTTGTTGTTGTTGTTGTTGTTGTTTTTCTATTAGATGCTGCTCCTTTAATTATTGTTGTCGTAGATAAGTTTTTAGCACAGGAAGTGCATGGAATTAGATGCTTCTCAGGAGCTAGTGAGTCTAAGTTCATTTTGTGCCCGTGCAACAAAGTGTCCTGTGTCTAATTCCCCTTGCTGGAGGTTGCACTGATGAACACAGCGAAAAAAAAACACGTGATGGGATGAGCACTGGGCGTTATACGCAACTGATGAATTACTGAACTCCAGATTGGAAACTAGTGATGTACTATATGTTGACTAATTGGATTTATCTAAAAATAAAAAGTAAATTTTAAAAGAAGAAGAAAAAGCATTTTACTAAAAAAAAAAAAAAAAAAAATCCTAGGGGTCACCTGGCTGGCTCAGTCGGTAGAGCATGTGACTCTTGATCTTGGGGTCGTGAGTTTGAGCCCCACGCTGGGTGTAGAGATTACTTAGAAATAAAATCTTCAGGGGTGCCTGCCTGGGTGGCTCAGTCGGTTAAGCATCTGCCATCAGGTCATGATCCCGGGGTCCTGGGATGGAGCCCCACATTGGGCTCCCTGCTCAGTGGGAAACCTGCTTCTCCTTCTCCCACTCCCTCTCCCCCTCACTCCTCCCCCCCACCACACACACTCATGCCCTCTATCGCTCTCTCAAATAAATAAAAATCTTAAAAAATTAATAAAATCCTAAAAAAAAAAATCCAACTATTAGGGGCCAACATGTCCATTCGTCACCTCCTTAGTTGCCAGTCAAATTCCAGTCCAAGTGGGGTGGGGACGAAATACCAAAAATCTATTTGATAGCATACATGTGAAATAAAATTTGGCCTGGGTCTTGTTCCTTAAGTAGAAATATTTGCTCCGCTCCTTGAGTAAAGGCTGATAAATTTTAATTCTAGGAAGGTTCTGGGAGTAAATGTATCAACCGCTACTTGTTTCAAGCCAGTTTTGTAGAGTAATAGTGTTTCAGAAAATAACCTAGCAACCCTAGAAACTAACCGGAGTAACCTGGGTGTGCCAAGAACTGGCATATTTGTTGGTACCTGATGTATCCTGTCCAGTTCAGTCCTCATAAAACTCTTCAAAGTTCAAAGTATGTCTTGTTAGTCCCATTTTGCAACTGAAGAAACTAAGCTTCAAAGAAGTTAACTTAATTGCTCAAGGTCACACAGCGAACAGGTAGTTGTTGAGCCTGGTTTCAAGTCCAAGTCTGTAGGACTTTAAAAGTCACGTTCTCTCTGCTGTATTCCCAATAGTACTGATTTTACTAAAAGATCATAAAGGAAAAAAATGTTAAATCTCATTAATTTTGATGACTTTACACTGCTGTGTTTTACCTTCCCCCCCCCCTTTATCTTTTTGCTCTGACCCTCTTGGCTTAGTTCCCAGGGACTGGGAGCACTGCAGTGGGGAGGGTTTGAGGTAACTAATTGTCATGGGGCTTTAGGTCGGCCAGTTAAGCTTAATTAACGCTTTTCCCAGTTGCCAAGGGGTAATTACCAACCAGATTCAGCAAAGTCCCAGGGCTGTTGGGACTTCGGGTCCACTGGGAGACTCCAGACCAGCCCTGGCCATCTGCTAGTCCCTTGAAAACCCGATGCCTATTCCCCAGCTACATGGTCAGAGTCAGAAAGCCCACAGAGTAAGAAGACAAACATGGTGGCGGTTTATACCCTGAAAGGTGACCTTGGTTACTGCTGGAGACAGATATATTTTTGTCCCACCAAATTGTTACCCAGTGTGACACTGCAGGGTTGTGGGCTTTGGGACAAGGCATTTGTGTGAGTGTGTTGGTGTGTGCAGGGGTCTGTATTGGGTATGCATGTATGTATGCTGGTGTGTGCAAATGTGTGTGCACGTATGTGTACCGAGGTGTGTGTGTGTGTCTGTGTGGCACAGACATACAGCCTCTTTCATTCCCTGGATCACCTCCATTGATCCTATTGATCCTCTCGGGGTGGGAGAACCTGGAATATGAGCTCATAGAACCAAGAAATCCAAGGTTTGCTTGTTTTTCAGCTTTTGTTAAGTTTGAGAGTCTGTTTCCTCTATTCTGAAAGACCCCTGAAGTCCCTCTCAGAAACTTTATAACATCTTGGGTTTTGATAACAAGATTTTTACCTGGAGTTCAAAGCCCGCCATGAGTTGACCAATGATGGTTTTTCTAGAGCATTAATAAGAACACCAGGCTTCAGATAATCCCAATAAAACCCTTTTACTCCTAAGATAATGACATAACAGGTCGCACCTGGAGGAAATCTCAGTGCCTTCCCTAGGAAGATAAAAGACAGAGAGAGGATTGACAATAATTAGGCGAAAACATTTGACTGTGTGTGGTACTTCCGTGATGCCTCTGTCTCTGTCATGTCGGGGACACCATTCCCAAGGCACCCGGGGTGTCAGCTCTCCCTATAAGCATGAATTTTAACCTCCATTTATCCATTTCTTCTAGTCAGCTGTCCAAAGGACTCCAGTCACATTTTAAAGCCATCTTTATTCAGAGTATTTTTTCCCTCCAGAAGTGGTGACTAGTGCTGTACTACTTCCGGAAATAGTGCCGCAGTTCTGATGTTGTAGCCTTCTAATGGCTGTTTAAAATCTATTGTTAATTCAGAAGTTACTGAAACCTAGGAAGATTCCATTTTGACAGAATGGCTACAAGCAAAGAGTAATTCAGCTACTCAGCTAATTATCATCTTATCTACTCCGGACCTTTCTGCATTGTCCAACTTGTAAACCTACAAGGTTTTGCTTGTCGTTTTTTCTTCTATCAGACTCTCTCAGTAGCCATATTATTTCCATTAGTGAAGTGGCAAAACTCGTCTCCAAAGGGCCCAGTAGAAACAAACCAGTGGTTTAAGCCACCGTCCCAGGACAAAAGCCAAGTTAAGGAAGATCTTAGAGTCTCTCAGTCTGTCTTTTCTCTTTGCATAAGCAAACATCTACTCATAGATTCGAGAACAAATCTGTAACACACCAACAGCAGAAAAGAGTGTTCTCTGTTAGGATTGTTATGTTCCTAACATGTTGGAGCGCCACAAAATACCATTCCCCTTTTAGAGCGTGAATGGATTAGACTCAGAACGTTGCGCAATGAAGAACTGTCTTGCAGTGGATTGTATACGGTGGCTTAGAGGGGAGGGAGGGTCCCAGTGGGGTACGCGATGTCAGTTCAGGAACCATCTGTGGAAATTCTGTAACAGGAGAGGTACCAGAAGGAACAGAACAAGCTGAAAGAAGAGTGGGAAAAGGCCCAGAAGGAGGTGGAAGAGGAGGAACGCAGATACTATGAGGAGGTAGGAAATTCCCAAGAAGGAATTTGACTTGTGCTTTTGATTCCTCAAAGTTTATTGGGTTTTTTTTTCTTTTTTTTTTTTTTTGGTCTGCGGTTTATGTATGCACATGGCCGTGTCTCATTCTCCTTACAGCAGAGCCCTGTCGACTTCTTCAAAGAGCCGTAGGCTCTAAAAGACCACAATTCCCCCGAATTTAATTTGTGGTAAGGGCGTGTTGAGTTATGGTCAAGGGAGACAATAGAATTTTATCTGTTTTCTAGTCAGAGAGTCACATTCTTGATTTACCTCAAAGAGATGACACGAAAGTATCTATTTGTGTGTTTGAGGAAAGCATGTTTGGTAGTAGTGAATTAATTTTGTGAGGACAATTTTGATGTTGGGGCTAAGTGAATCCTTACCAACTCCATTCACTATATTGTACTAGAGAGATTTGGAGGGAGGAGAATTTGCTTTTGTTTTACTTATTTTTTTTAGATGAACAAACCAGACCACATTACAGAATTAGAAGGGAACTACATTTAAGGCGTATTAGCTAAAATTTGCTTATGATTAATTTTGTTGTGAATTTATCTTCAGTAATTGTTGTGCCTAATCTGATCCCTAAAAGCATTTCTAATTAGGCTTCTTGAATCAGACTAATTTGCAGACTTTGTTTTTCCAAATTAAATGCTAATTTCTAAATCATTGCCCATAGAAAGTACATTCTGATTTACATGCTTTTAGAAAATAAGACCCCTTTTTTTAATGCCCTGCTTGTTTGCACATAATCCAATTTTTTTTCTTTAAGCTCCTTAATGAATTTTTCTCTTGACAAATGTGATTTTATTTTCTTTTTTCCCCCTTTCATTAATTACTGTCCTTCCCTTTAGGAGCGCAAAATAATTGAAGACACCGTGGTTCCATTTATTCTTTCTTCAAGTTCTGCAGACCAACTATCTACATCCTCCTCTGTGACCGAAGGCAGTGGGAAAATGGTGAGACCGTAGATTAAAAGTAATTTGTGAAAAAAATAAACCTAAAAAGTATAAAACAACAAGCTCAAGTTTTCCACCAGTTTAAATCCAGGACTGACCCTTGCCCTAGAGTTGCATCAGCTGCTGTGTGGCCATTGTACCCCATGGTGCTGTCACTGCCATGGTCAGACTCCAGAGTCATTTCCTGGGGAGCAGTGAAATCATTACTGGGGCCAGATATGCTCCCAGGGCCTAGCAACCATAATGTCCCTGCACTGGCTGGAGAGGTCCTGATTAGTGGAGCATTTGCTGGAATGTGCCTCTGACAGCCCATCGTTCACTCATTCAACACATATGTATTCCTCTCCGCCACATCATGCATCCCTTTGCCCTGGATGGTAGCCAGCAATGCACTCCCCACCAGCCTCCATGGAAATTGCTTCTAAACCACTCTTAAAATTCCCCATGAAATTTATTTGTGTCTTCAAGGGCTGGAGAGAGCAGAGAAAGGGTGGTCTACCTCCATATCCCCCAAATAAGGTTGGGGAGCTATTGAACAAAAGTCATACCAAGACTTGGAATAGTCTGGAATCTGAATTTAAAAACAAAACAAAACCAAACAAAACCGATGGGCCCACAAGAGCCATTTCTCCTAACTGAACAGTCCTAGGACTTTGTTTTACTTTGCAAGGTGGGCTTTCTGAGCAGTTCTCTTTTGTGATAACTTTTAAGAGAGATCCAGTTTACACATTGGTTTCAAATCGTTGGAAAGCACTTACTATTCAGTTAATTTGGACAATTATTCTTTACACTGTAGGCAATGTGATTGGAAAAAATGTTTCAAATACACCATGGGCAGAGATGAGTGTTGTCCAGTGTGTTTAAAAATATTCAGGGGGCTCCTGGGTGGCTCAGTGGGTTAAGCCTCTGCCTTTGGCTAGGGTCATGATCTCAGGGTCCTGGGATCGAGCCTCACATCAGGCTTTCTGCTCAGCGGAGAGCCTGCTTCCCCTTCTCCCTCTGCCTGCCTCTCTGCCTACTTATGATCTCTCTCTCTCCGTCAAATAAATAAATAAAATCTTTTTTAAAAATTAATTAATTAAAACTAAAAAAATAAAAATGATACTCAGGGGTGCTTAGGTGGCTCATTTCATTCAAGCCTCTGACTCTTGCTTTCGGCTCAGGTCATCATATCGTGGGTCATGGGATCGAGCCCTGAGTTGGGCTCTGCGCTCAGCGGGGAGTCTGCTTGAGATTCTCTCTCTCCCTCTCCCTCTGCCCCACCCCCCACGTGCATTCTTTCTCTCTCTCAGTAAATAAATAATATTCAATATTATCCTTCTTTTCTCAATTAGAATAAGATGGACTTGGAAAACGGTCGAGAGGAAGAACAAGAGACAAGACAGAGGAAGCCGCTCCAGGGAGACAACAGTGATTTATTGCATAACCCTCGGGAAGATTGGCCACCAGAGGAAGCTGGCAGGTATGAACTGTACCAGCCTGTCCTTCTAAATGAGCAAAGCCAGACTCTGCCTGTTAGCTCCCCAGAAAGGGTACCCATTTCTAATGCAAATCATATTCAGCTTTGAAATTATCATTCCAGTAATACATTACGTGTTGCTTAAACATATTCTAATATCTCCAAAGTCAGTCTTTATGCTCTTGAATATAAATCACCTTATTTTTAAAATATGTGAAATCTTTTTTAAGTGAGGGGAGGTAGTATAGATCATCAGAGGAGCACGTTGTCACTTCAAAGCCCCAGATCTAACTGTCATTCACCTGATATGGTTGATGTGTCCGGAGGGATAGAGGTTAAAATGAGATCCTGGGGTCCTACCCACTGTGGGTTGACCGTGGACCTGGACTTTACTCTCAGTATCCTCTGAGCTGTGAGAAATCACATTTATTCTGTGTGACAGTATAAAGGATAACTAATTTGTTATCCTGTAAAGGATTACAAATGATTGGTTGTGGATAATCATCCCACCCCATGGATTCTAGTATGTACCATGGGAGATCCAAACCGCATACCCAGAAACCCCTAGATCATTCAGAGCTAGCTCAAACTGGAGCAGAATCTGGTTGTAGCTACGGGGCATAGTGGGCTTATTGATGCCACCCTGGGCCTAACCTAGAAGGGACCCCTGGAGTCCTGGAAATTGGCAGTATGCTGCCACCAGCAAGTTCTTTATGAGACAGATATTTGCTTTTGGGGTCCTGAGATACCAGAGAGAGATTGGCAAGTGTGCAAGCATATGCACACATACACATACACGAGTGTGCGGAGATACACGTGTGTACACACACACTGCACCTTCAGAGAGCTCCAAAGATGTGAAAAGCTAGAGTCATTTTCAAAGACTGTCCAATTTGAAAGTTTGGCTGCGAGTGGAGCCCTCTGGTAGGATCTGCTCTGAGAATTCTCCCGTGTCCATCAGCCAGAAGACTGGGTGGATTGTGGCCATGGGGTCTTCGGGCCCATGCCCAGAGTCTGCAGAGCCTTTGGGATATAGCCCATCTGTTTCCAGTTAACACTATTTAAAGGAACTTTCCAGTTTCATGATACAAAAGCCACTGGTCAGGAATATTTGAATGATGCTGCTCAGCATTATACATGAATTTTTGCTGCTTCTCCAGACAGTCCCTGTTATCTCCAGAAACTCTGAACATTTTTAAACCTCCTCCATCTCCTTCTCTTGCACACAGATGCTACTGCAAGGCCAGTGAATTCTCATGGGCGGCCCAAACCTGTGGGGCCCAAGTATTTTCTACCATAAGTCCTCTCCTGTGAACATCTGGGAGATTCCAGTTGGCTCTGGTATCCCTTGAAATGATCAGAAATGAAGACCTTTAGGGACAAGGAGATGGGGAAGACTTCAGAAATAATGGTTTCTCAAGCTTAGTAAATTGATGGATAATGAAAATGTGTAGGATTCTCCAGTACTTTAAATCTGGTTTAAAATGAAAAGAATAAACATTTCGTTAGTCCCGTTTCTCTTTTCATATCGTAACTAGGTATTTCCATGCCCTAAGGGATAGGATAAGTTTAGTTCTATTGCTTTCATCTCTGTTCTGAAATATACATTTGTTTATCTCAACAGCCTAACTCAAGGGGCATTGGCTCATTCTAAGAATCCTGTATGGAAAGGAGGCCATCAGGACCAACAGTTGGATACAGAAACTGGGGCCCTACACTGTGGGATGAACTCACAGCTAGCTCAGGGTAAGAATGGGCGTTGAAACCCAATAATGAAATTATTAGAAGACCCCACACACATGTGGTTCAGACAGGTATGAACTCTACTGGCTGCGGGCCTCTCTTGTAGCTTACTCCAAACAACACAGTGAAAAGACTCCCACCACTGTGGGCCCACAGTCTACATGGACTCACGGTGAGATCCCAGCGGGCATTAGTGCTTTCAAGAAAGAGGACATACAGAGCACTAGGGGGATGTTACTGAACACTAAGTTTATGTTCTTTATTCTTTCCTCGGCCTCAGATCCATCCCAGAGTCAGCAGGTATCAAACCCATCGACGCACATTCTAGAAGATGTGAAGCCAAAAACCCTCCCTTTGGATAAAAACATTAACCATCAGATCGAATCTCCGGGTGAAAGACGGAAGTGAGTAGCTAAATAAGACGGATGTGGAATTCCTTTGCTTTTTGAAATTTATTGACTAAGAATGGGAAACAAGTGTGAGATGGTAAGATGTCAGCAGTCTTTTTGTGCTTCTTGTCCACTGACCCTGAGTGATCAGAAAATAAGTATTTATGGATGTCTGAGACAGTCTTCCTGGCCAGCAAATACGGACTCTGATTTTTATCAATTTGTAATTGATAATGTCTTCAGCCTACAAATCTAAACATTTGGGAAGAATTTGCAGGCCTGTTGCATAAGTGATTTATTTAAGTGAGTTAAATTGTCTCAGAGCCTGTTGACAAATGTTCTTTCAAGGAAAAAAGTGTTTTTCTCTCATTTACATGTACTCCCATGAAGTAACTACCCCAGGTTATATTCTTATTTTTTAAAAACCATATTATTTTACAATAAGAATGGTTCCTATCATTTTTTAAGCCTTTCAATATATAATAGGCACTGTGTTGAAGAGTTTACATATCTCGTCCCTTTTTATATACGTTAATTCACTGAACTCTTCCAGTAACTTTACTGGGTCTTGTTTCCATTTTAGAGATGAGGACATTGAGGCTCAGGGAAATTAAATAACTTATCCAAAGTACTTGACTGGTTAGGTGGTGCAGGAAGTCAAAATGAAACCATAGTTCCTAGATAAAATCATATTTGGATAAGAGGTTCCTTGTAACCAGTTTTTAAAATATATAACATTCATGATGCATTAACCAATCATTCTACCTAGAGCCAGATGACCTAGATTTAAACTTTGATTCTTCCACTTGCTGGCATAGGACTTTAAGCAAGTTACTTAATCCTTTTCTGCCTCAGTTTCCTCATGTGTAAAATGGGAATAATATTAGTACCTACCTCATAGGGTTTTGTGCCTGGCAAATGATAGGTGCTATATATGTCAGTGGTGGTGTTGATAGTGCCAAACAATGGTGATGGTGTGGGTGATGATGATGATGGTGGTGGTGGTGATGGTGGTGGTGTGGTGGTGGCGGTGGTGGTGGTGGTGATGGTGGTGGTGGTGATGGTGATAACGATGGTGGTGATGATGGTGGTGATGGTGATGGTGGTGGTAGTGGTGACGATTGTGGTGAGGATGGTGATGGTGTTAATGGTGACAGTGGTGATGGTGACGGTGGTGACAATGACAATGGTGATGATGGTGATGACGGTGATGGTGGTGACAATGGTGATGGAGGTGACGATGACGGTGGTGATAGTGGTGGTGATGTTGGTGACATTGGTGGTGGTGATGGTGATGGTGATGATGGCTTGTTTCAAAAATTCATCTTTTTACCTAATTTATCATGTTAACAGTTTTTTTCCTCAATATAGTGCTTGAACCTTTTCCCCTTTCCTCTTACGTGTATCCTATTTTATTACTATCTGTCCCGATGACTCAAAATCAATAGAAGGTAAAATCACCTAGAAGTAATCATTACTGTTCTCAGTTACTGCTCGGATTTTCAACCTTTTTAAAGACAATGTGCTTATACTTTAGGGTATCACATGAAAATCTGATACTCTGGAAGAGACAAGCTCTGCCTAAGGAGGGAGGTGTGAGTGGGCAGGGGCTTAGGGAGTCTCTCTGAAAGCAGTTCGAAGCCAGAGGGACTACTGCTCCGTTCACTTGTCTGTTGGCATTTCTCCTTTCTTCCTTCTTTTCCATGTTCTGTCCCTTTCTTCACAAATGAAACAAACTCTTAAAAGCAAGAGCTCGGGCAAGGCTCATATGCCACTGCAGAGCAAGGCTGAATCACAGGCAAATCTCATGTGACACCAAGAGCACCTGTCAAGCCATTGCAGTAGCTTCTGGCTGGGGCCATTCTGCTGTGTCAATGTTCATGACCTAGCGGTTATTACATGTTTTGAACATTACCCCTAATCACTTGTACCCATGATGAAATTACTGGTAGGGGTAGAAGCCACCTTGTTAAAAAAAAAAATCTCCATTAACGCTCTGCCCTTAGCTCTGGGCTCCTTTAAGAGCTTTTACCTATATCCCTACTCATCTCTCCCTTCCCACCCAGTCCATGATTTTTATATCTAACCCAGCATGCAGTGTCAACTAGAAACGTTCCTGGAAAAAATAATAATAATGAGATTATACTAGAGAAATACTAGAGAGATATTGTGTCTTCCTGTCCAACCGTGCCAGCCTGGTTTTGATATTACGCAGCCAATGCACATACAGGCTTTGCTAGATGGAATGACTATGTCTGTTCTTCATAAAAAATTACCACTAGGACATGCTGTTGTTTTCTATTTTGTTGTCAAGGGAGTGTTTGTTTTGTTTTGTTTTCATCCAGAATGTCTCTTCTTGTGGGAGGGGCTTCTCTTCGCTTCTCATAATTTTTGGCTCCTTTACCGTGTTACAGGAAAAGCCCTCGAGAGAATTTCCAGGCTGGGCACTTGTCCCCCTGTTCTCCCACCCCTCCTGGCCAATCACCAAACAGGTACAAGAGGTTAGAAAGCCTTTCTGAGGCTGCTTGATTTCACCTTGTGCCTGCCGAGCATGATTTCAACCAAATTAGTGCTTGCCAGATGATTCGGAGAGATGTGTTCACCTGCCTCTCCTCCTAAACACACACACACACACACACACACACACACACAGGCAGGAGGAAAGAACTCATCCCCCATCTGCCTGCAGATTTTCTCAGCCCATGATAGAAAAAGCCAAGTGTATGATGTTGGCACGGCTGTGGCCATGGGGCTTTAATTACATTGTGCAGAACCCAGAATCTAATAATAAAATCCACCAGACAATTGCTGGGCTCCTCAGCTGGCGCCTTTCCCTCCAAGTTTGGCCAGGCCTTCTGGGCAGGGTCTGCTGCTGGCTCTTAACGGGGACCCAGGCGGGGACTAGCAACAAAACTTCATCCTTCCCTTTCCCCCACTCAAGCTCTGTTACAGTTGCTTCTGGACATTAATCGGGCCCCATGATATTCTTAAAAACTGCCTGAGTTCCCATTCACTGGAGAGACCAAAGTAGTGGGAACTCAGAGGTTTTCTTTGATTTAGAAATTCCATTTTACTACCGGATAAGAGGGAAATCCTAATAAACAGAGTTTGCTCGGAGCAACTCTTCCTCTTTTCTCTTGTCTTCCTTTCTGTTTCTTCAGTTCCTCTGTATGCTGTTGGCTTTTGAATGAAATTGCATATTTTAAAATTTCTTGTGTGATTCCAAGAGCTTTCCAGACAGCGGGCATCACTGTGATCTGATCTCCGGTGTGGGGAAGCTGTCTGAGAGGAGGCCAGCTAGTGCTCTCACCCTGTGTCAGTGTGCAGGGTGTGGTTCTAGTCCGGTGGTCGGCCCTACAGTAGGGGCTTGGGGGAGGGCAGAGATGGGGGAGACGCAGCCTATGCTCTCTAGGCACTTACAACTCAGAGAGATGGCAAGTGCCTGGTTTATGGAGCCCCAGGGTGTTTGCACTGGAAGAGGGGGTAGGTGGAGCCCATCTAATCCAATCCTCTCATTTTAAACGTGATTCCTTATACCCGATCATAGAACTTGGTGACGGAGCAGAGAATGGGTCCCACGTCTGCCTGGTACCTATTGGGCTGCTTGACGGTTGCCTCTATTTTTAAACCAGAACAACAACAATTTTTCTTAATAAGTAAAAAGAAATGCCTCGTGGGCCAATGAACCCCAGTGATAGAAAATCCTAAAGCAATACTGAAGCCTTAGTAAAGCTAAATTGGATTATCTCTTAGGACTTAAGAAAACATAGGGGAAGTACACTGAGTCATTTCAGGGCATTTCCAGATTCAATGTGATTGAATCGACACAATATAGACTTCCTGTAACTGATGACTGAAACACACACACACACACACACACACACACATTCCCCAAATTCTGTGCCATAATGGAGGCCTGTTGTATTGGGTCCAACAGGCCGCTTGCAACTTGTATCTGATGCTTAATTCCTGCTCGTTATCAGTTCAGTAATTGCCATTGCATTCATGATATAAACCATCCATGGTTTATATCTTATATCCTATACTATATAGATATATATCTATATCATATATATATATATACATCTTATATTTAAGATGTTAAAATCCATCTTTTTTTTTTTTTTTTTTTGCTTGAGGCTACATGTTAGTGCATTTGACCAGCTACTCTAGATGAACGTCTTATTACTCCGTATATTTTGAAACCCAGGTCTATCAGCGGGAAGAAGCTGTGCTCGTCCTGTGGGCTCCCTCTGGGCAAAGGAGCCGCCATGATCATCGAGACCCTCCATCTCTATTTCCACATCCAGTGCTTTAGGGTACGTACGCCCGCCCTCCTCTCCGAGGGATGTGTTCTAGCATCTTCTAGCATCATTCTGTGCTGAGAAATTTCCTCCCGGAAATCCTGACGGGCCTCTGCTCGTGAGGCCAGGCCCTCTGGGTTGTACAGAAGTGTTCGCAGAGCCAGCCCACCCTTCAGGAAGAAATTCTCCTCTCACACGTCCCTCTGGGACGGCAGGTTAGAAGAAGCAAAATGGATTTGCGCAGCGTGTCTGGAATGTAGCATCTTTTCTGCTTCTGACACTCTTGTGACTTCACAGCAAAGGTTATCTTTGAATGGAAGATTTTCCATCAATTAAGTGGCTAACAGCTAGTTGCTTCCTCGTAGGTCTCTGAATGCCTTTGTGTGTAATCATGGATTGAGTATTGCTCCCTCTGAGAAGCTGCCCTGACCCCCAGATGACGTCAGTTCCTTTACAGTCCTTAGAGAGAGGCTTTCCTGGTCCTTCCCACTCGCTTGTTTCATTGTTGAATTATCACCTCCTCACACCGTCCCCTCCGTAAGGGCGGGGGCCGTATCTGTCCAACTCACCGTGATTTCCTCTGAACCTAGCAGAGATGAAGGAATTGACCAATTCGCTGAAAATGCAGAGGCCTCGCTCCTAGTCTCACATCTCCTGCTAGTAAGGGGGGAGGTGAACCAGTAAGGAGGTGAACCACTTCTAGCTCATTTATTATGAAATTGACAAGTTGGGACTCTATCAGCACTTCTTTTTTTTTCTTTTCCCCCAACTCATGGACACAATTCCAGTTAATATTTTATGTTGAAGCTAAACCCTTGAACTCTGAGTAAGAATCATTTCTTTCTTTTCACCAAGCTACCGTGCTTTCTCTCGAATTTTGTCCTGTTCCTTTGTCGGTAGTGTCTTCAGCTATCAAGTAAACTTGCATGGGTTTAAAATAACTCCCACTTTACCTATAAGCTAAGAGAAGCAAGTAAAGTCCCAAAATTATTAATTTAGTCATATTAGTAATTAGTGCAAAACGGGACTTACCATGAGTAAAACGTAATATGGATCCTTAATTAGACTCCAATGATCAATATTCTCATTGTAAAATGAAGCTAAACAATGTATATCCACACTTGTCTCGGAGTGTTTTGAGGCTCAAAGAATATACTTTTTAATTCCCGGCAATGCCAAGATAATGTGCTCCGATACCACGGTTTGTTCTCAGAGACTTTCCCTGAACTTGAAATAATCCAGACGGCAAAGAGTCTTCGCGGTTTCTCAAAGGAGAGGAGACTGGCCTTCTTAGCTATCAAAGCCTTTATTCTCTCTAATGATTCACTTCCTAGAGCTGATCTGACCCTTTAAGGCAGATCGCCTCTTAGATTTACCCCCTACCCTGGAAGTCAGTGGAGCTTATAAAATAATTTGGATGAAGCTTTCCTCTACCCGCTGGGTGACCTCAGAGAATGAATCTGGGGCTGGTCCTCTTTGGAGCTGGGTTCTAATCCCCCCAACCCACCACAAAAGGCTGGCCTCTGAAACAACCTCCGTTTCCACCTTGTCTGTTCTAAGCAATGCCTCCTCAGGCTGACTGTGCTGAAACGTGTTCTTTTCCTGCTGGATTTGTAGCAGTGGGCATTACTGCTTTCAGTGTGGAAATGTGAGGTGAGCCATTTCCTAGTCATTCTGATCTGGCAGAACTCACCAACGGTAATGGAAAGCATTTCAAGATTATTCACAATTATCAAGTTTGAATTGATAACCCATTGGCCGTGTGTTTATTTAAAACCACTAGGATGTCGTCTGTTTGGAATGGTTGTTCCATCCTGATTGGGGGTCAACTTGACACCACCTACCAGCTCTACATCCTGGACAAGTCAGCGAGCCTTAGAATCAGTGTCCTTCTCTGTAAAATGCAAGGAGTTAGGATAAAATGCTACAAGTATGTTGTTGCTGTGAGTCAGCTCTGGTACAACGTCTTTCATATAGTAGATGCTCAACAAATGTGGAGGTTGTAGAAGCGATTGTTGCGTACTTGTGTGAACCATAACTAAGCATTATAAAGAAATGAGTCCTTGTGCACCTTATAACTTCTGTTCTTTCTGCCCTACAGTGTGGGATTTGTAAAGGACAGCTTGGAGATGCAGTGAGTGGGACGGATGTTAGGATTCGAAATGGTCTTCTGAACTGTAATGATTGCTACATGCGATCCAGAAGTAAGTACCAGGGGGCAGACACAGGATACCTTGAGACGAGTGTGGTCACATGCCTTCTACAGGACCCAGTTTAGAAATTCAACTATTCCTCCTCATTGATTGACACACCTACCTTGAGGGTAGGATTTATTAGCACGTAGGGAAAAGAAACAATAAGGAAATAACCCGTATTTACCACTTGTTTCTTACTGGAAGTTACTGTTACAGTGTGGCCAAATTCTTTTTATCCAGAAACATTATTTTTATCCGTTAATACACCAGGGAGGTAAAACCAAGTTTGAGATGTTGCTTGAGTTCACCATAGAGATTTTGGGGAGATAGAAGGAAGACACAAGATCTGTAAAACACTATTCATTTGTGGAGGCATATCTTTAGAAAGCCAGCACCACTTGGGATGGTGTCAGTGTGAAGAATGGCTCTCCAGTGTTCATCAGCTCAAGCACCGTGTCCTCAATGTCTGCATGCCCTACAGTCAGGAGTTCTGTGACACCGTCTGGTTTTGTTGCCAGCTAACGTGAAAGTTCCTTTAGAACCAAGAAGAGGGGTTCTACTTCTCTGGAATCCCTGCCCCCATACTCCTTCAAAATGCCTTAGTACATAAACAGAGCTTACCCAGTCTCTGGGGCCCTGAAGCTCATTTGAGCAGTCGGCCCCTAATCCTGTGTCTGGGTCTCCTACTGTAGACAGTTCACGTTGGTTTTGAGGGCACCAGGGGGCACTGTTGCCCAGCTGCTGTTTAGAAAATCTGCAAATAGCCAGCCAGCGGCTCATCTCCGAGGTACTGTCCTTCTGGTGGGGAGACTTCCAGCAAATTCATCAGTTAGAAATTTTTCCTTTAAAAACAATGGAGGGAGGGGCGCCTGGGTGGCTAAGTAGGTTAAGCCTCTGCCTTCAGCTCAGGTCATGGTCTCAGGATCCTGGGATTGAGCCCCTCATTGGACTCCGTGCTCAGCGGGAAGCCTGCTTCTCCCTCTCCCTCTCCCCTTGCTTGTGTTCCTTCTCTCGCTGTGTCTCTCTCTGTCAAATAAATAAATAAAAATCTTTTCAAAAATTGAATAAAATAAAAATAAAAACAATGGAGGTGAGGAGTTGAAATTCAAGAATCTTTTCTTATTTCTCAAAGTAAGTTAAGGAACATCTTTAGGCTTTTTTACATGGGTCTTTAAATCTGCAAGACTGAAGATTTGAAGAGTGAAATTGAAATTAAGTTGTTTTATTGCTATAAATTTAGTCAGTTAGGGAAGTATATGCCTCTTTTAATAAAATCGTAGGAAATAAGAATTAGATCAAACCCAGGTAGTTTTGATCTATGACAAACACTTGACTTAAAGTCAAAACAATTCCCAATTTTGAGCTGCTGCCCTCAAAACAGAACCATGTATACCACATATTATATATAGATATTAATCTTATATAATTATAATATGTATATAGTATATAATATTGATATCAATTTATGCTATGTATTATACATGTAAAATATGGTATACATAGTAAAAAATAAAATGAGCAACAAATGAAATAGTATACCGTGTATGATCCAAAAGTATATATATATATCTATAATATATATAGTAATTAATATATTTATTTAAACTGGATTTTTATTTGCTTATTTTTATACATTACAATGGAAAACTAAGCCCTTTTCTCCCATATTCCAAAGTGATTTTAACTATCCTCTTGTACAAATAATACTTTTCTCAACCTCAATGAACCAGATGAATGTGAATCATGGAACCAGAAGAGGGTGCTCTTAGGTTGAAGGACTGTTGAGCCAGATTTGAACTGTTCTGGAAATCTGAATTTCTTTCATAATTTAAAGTGCTTGAAGGATATCCACAGAGAACAAACCTGAGCCCACGTCTGGGTTACAGCAACCTGTTTTCATCCAGATTTTTACTTTAATTGAGAGAGTGGATGATTAATTGTCATTTCTTTTGGAAACTAGCTTTTTGGATCTAGGCCAGCAATTTTCTCTTGTGTATACAAATAAAAAGGACCTTAACTGCTTTTAATTCCAAATCTAAAGACAAGAACCATGGAGTTATAATCACCTATATGAGGTTACAAATTATAATAGTCTCATAAGATAAAAAAAATAAAGTGATTTGGAGGTAGACTAACATGATTTTTTAATTTTTTATTTTATACAAAATACTAGGAAATTTTTTTTTCTTTGGATACTAAGAAGAAAGCAAGAAGGCATATTACTTTTCTGCCTAGATTATGTCTATAGACATTCAAAGGAATGAGTCAATAAAATTATAAATGGTATAAGGTTAGAAAATAGGGTTGTTTAGGGAGACACCGAATTAAAAGTGAAAGTCTCCAAAATTAACCACTGTAATCACTTTCTAATTATTTCTTAGAGACAAGGTTAGAATGTACATTTGTATGTGTGTACACACACACACACACACACCCCATATGTGTGCAATACATCTACCCGCCTATGTTCTGTTTTTTTTATTTCACGAAGATAATCACATAGTGTCCTTTATTTTTGTTGCTCTTGTGTTTAATTTAATGATATATTATGGCAATTTTTTTTGGTCATTTTCTAATATAACATTCTTTCTCCCCATGCTTTTAGATGGCTTTTTAATACCTGAATACAGTCCCATTGTGTGGATTTGCCGTAATTTCAGACTATTCTCTGTGCATGGGCACTTCGGTTATTTCCAGTGTTTTAATATGTTCTGGTAAAGGCCCCAGTGGACATCCACGTACAGACGTCCTCATGAACAGTCGAAAGCATTTCTGTAGGGTAGATTCTGAGCACTGGGACTGCTGAGTTAATAGTCATGTGCTTTTAAAAATTTCAGACAACTTGTCTAATTATCTTCCAGAAAAGTGCACTCTCCCTGCAAAGTCCGTAAGAGAGCCTCTTTCTCTCTCCATGGCTATGTCAGTTCTGGATCACATCAGACTTTTTAAATTCCCACTGTGTTGCATGGGGAAGGGAAAATTGCATTGTTTTGACCTGTATGTCTTTAAGTGAGTTTGAACATCTTGTTTATGGACCATTTCTATTTCTTTTTTGCTATTAAAAAAATGTATCTTTCTTCTCTATCCTTTGCGCATGGAACCATGCTAATACTTGATTTGTAGTTCTTTTAAAGTAAAGACATTTTCCCTTGATTTTATATTTGTTGCTTATTGCCGTTGTCATAGGTCTTTCTACTTTGTGAACTTTTTTTCATAGAAAAGATTTTCATGTAAAGTAATTAAACATACCTTTTTTTATTCTTTCTTTTTTGGATTCTGGGTTCTGTGTCCTGCTTAGAAAAACTTTCACTACTTCAAGGATTTAGCTGGGATTTCTCCCAGAATTATTCTTTATTTTCTCTTTCACATGTAACTACGTGATCATCACAAATGTATTTTGGGACAAGAACTGAGATAGATATCCAAACTTTTTTCCCCCCCAGTTACAAGTTGTGCAAATTTAACTGAAGAATCCCTTTTTTTTTTTTTTTTCATTAATTTGAAATGCCAGCTTTCTCATAAACTAAGTTCCCCCATAGGTATTTGGATCTATTTCTAGATGTTTTATTATGTCTTATTAACCTACTAATTCTCAAGTGTTGAATAGTTTTAATTATTATAGCTTCTTAATATGTTTTCATATTGAGTAATAATGACTACTTTCTTTCCAGTTTTTTTTCCTAACTCTTCTTTCATGTTTATTTTTCCAGGTAGATATTATATTGGGGCTAAACTTTACTTAACACATGACAGGGACAATGACCAGCATATCTGAGAATAGTGCTCATTTCTTTCTTGGTGTCAGAAGAAACAAATATATTAGCTTAAATGTGAATCAGTGGAGAAGATAATAGTTGGCTCGAGAAGTATAAATATAGTTGAATTGGTTGAGTATATCCCAGATGCAATTAAAAAAAAAAAGTCAGAATGGAAAGAAATGGCTAAAAAATCATTTTTCTTTCTTTTTTATTTGATTCTGATATGAGTTGGGTGGGGGATGGGTAGATGGAAGGGATGGTTTACATCATAGGCGTTCTAAATGAAACAAAATGATTTCATTGTGTGGAATAATAAAGCCTGGATATATAATCCTATTTTCTTCAAGTAACTAGTCACATTTAAATGAAATTTTTCTGTTGGAGGGGAGAAATTGCATAACAGCATATTAAAATGCAATTCCTAAAAGCAATGTAAACAGTTTTTAAGTTCATATGTAAATGGGAATGGAAGTGCAAAACAAATCACCTGCCACAAATCAAGCCACCACGTGGCTAACTCATGCCATTTGTGCTTGGGTATTGGGTGACTGTGTCTCTGTGTCTGTTCTGTCATGCATTCTGGTGAAATGCATTTATTGCAAAATCTCCAGGGTCTTTTCCAGTGTTGCAATTGCCTCATTACAACTCTAGTGCCTCCAACGAAAGAGAAACTTTGTGAAGGTTTCAGCAGGAAATACGGAACCCAAACCATCCTTCTAGATGGAGTTGCCAGATAAAATAGAAGATGCCCCCATTAGAATGTTTTTGCCCTATTAAATTTGAATTTCAGATAAGCAATGATCTTTTTTTTAGTAACTATAGGTCCCAAAGATTCCATGGTCAGGATTTAGCACAAGTATATCTCAAATATCACATGGGATATACTTTTACTAAAAAAAAAAAATTTTTTTTTTAGTTTTTTTAAATTTGTTGTTTACCTGAAACTCAAATTTTGTTGGGTGTTCTGTGTTTTTATTTACTAAATCTAGCAAATGTGTATGAGTCCATATGTAGATCCCATGTCACATGCCTCTGGTTGCAATGTATTTATTCTTCTAGAAACCAAAACCTAAAGGACCAGAAAAGAGAGAATGTTTTCTTGCTTATTTGCCCCTAGAAGACAAGGTAGGGAGTTTAATGAAGATCATTTGGCTTAAGGGTGAAATCCAGAGGATTTCAACCAAACTTGACAGGGCAGATGAATCCCCAGGACTCCTTGTTACGTTCTGGGATGGGACTCAGGAGTACCTGTCTGACCACCTCCTGGTGTTGCCAGTACTTCTCTTCCCTGGGCCACACTTGGAGCAGCAGAGGGGGACAAACTCCCCCTCAGAGGGAGAAGAGATTTGGGCAGAGGTCATTACCAGTGCCCTGAGGCAAGAAGTGTTGCATCCTCTAACCAAATACTACCCCCTGTTCTTTGTTGCAGGTGCTGGCCAGCCCACAACATTGTGACGTGCTTTTCAAACTTCCAGATCACTCACCATTTCTTTCTGGAGGGTGTCCCCTGGCGACCATTTCACCAAATCCCAAGTGTGGGGGCTCCTTGGTGTTTATCTAACTTCAGAAAGGCTGTTCTAAAAGATGGTATCTGTTCTTCTGTAGCACGGTGTTTGCATTCTTCCTGGTTTTCCGTTTCGGTTTTGATTTTTGTTTTCTTTTGGTTTTGCATTTGCACAGTATATACAAACAAATAAATATAATGTCGTGATCCTGTAGTTCACACAAAGATCTTACCGTGGGCCAACAGGCTCATGGTTTCAAATGGGTTCTTCTCTTTTCTGAGAGTTCCTGAGATGAATGAGGCAATAAACTTGTTTCGTTGTAGTATTTTTAGGAATTAAACACTTCTTGTTTACAGAATTGAGCTGCAGAAAGCGCAAGACATGCCAATTTGAGATGTGTCGTCTTCTAAGATAGAAGCCTAGCGTTCATGCATTTCAGAAACTAAAAATCACACCATAGAGCTCTGAGCTATAACTTGTTTTTAATGCAGAGACGCTAGTCTGATACTACATACTGTAATCCCGAGACATCTCTTACTTACCTTTGGAGGTGGAAGTCCTACCAATAAATTATTGCACCATTAGTATTAGATTTTGTGTGCTTTGGAAGTTCTGTCATTCATAAAGGCTGGTCCGTTAAAGCGAACCCTTGCAGTATCAGCTAGACTTACTCCATGGGGACACTGCCCACGGGTAGGAAGAAACCATAGGGAAATATTTCAGTCATCGTCTCCAAAGTTCTTACCAAAATCTGTGAGGAAGTTTTATCTCCAGAAGAGTGGTGGGTCAGTGAGAGCCGGGAGGGTTTTGGTGCTTGCTTCTCTTCAGGCTGTAGATTGAATAAGAGACTCCATGTGAGGCCTTTGGAAACTGTCACCAAGATCAGTCCAGCATGAAGTGTGACCAGGGCTCATTCTTGCCTACAAGTTCTTCTTGAGGGCCCAAAGGTGTCTAAAGCAAAGCATTAAGACACTCCTCCTAGAACCCAATGACCTATGTCGTCATGAGCCACCGACGTGCGATCAGCAAGAAGAACTTCCAACTCACAGTGCGCCCGGCCCACCGCAGTGGACATCTGCCCTCTCCCGTTCTCCTGTATCACCAACCCTCTTGACTGTCGACAATTCTAGAACTTTAGAGCGGAGCTCTTGTGGAGAGCTGGCTTCCTGTCTGCCCTGTGTGATGAGTTTCCGCTGGCCAAGAAAGGACTCCAGTTACTAAAAAGCATCACGTTTTAGATCTCCAGGCTGTTTTTCTTTAAGACTGGGGAAAGGGGAACTATTTATTCTGCCTTAAAATGACGGCAAATAAGTGAAGATGACATTTTGTGAATGTAGACTATGGATATACTCCTCTAATAGGTTAATGTAGTCATACAAGGAGATTAAGTAGATGTTTTTCTGTTTATGTAAGCAATAATTTTTTTTCCTGTGTCTTATTGAGTAGGGCTAGCAATTATTTATTTACATGCTAGACTGTTCTCTGCATGCGGGTTCCATGTAAGTGCAGAAATTCCCTCAGCCACTGGAGGTAGTTTGACCATCTTGTCATTTGGAAGAGCTGTTGTTAGATTGGAATTTACACATCATTTCATTAAAAAATTGTGCCTTAGAAAATGCGAAGCTGTTGCACATAGTCAGTGATGAATTCTGGATACAGTATGTTGAAGAGAGGTGAAGTCACTTCCAAGTCACTAAGACTTCTCGTGGAGGTGTTTGCTGTTTTACAGGAAAAAAAAAAAAATTAAAAAAAAAAGAAAAAGAAAAATAGAAAAAAAATTTTAAAGTTTTGAAAATGTACAGATTAAGTTCAATATTTTGATTAACCACTTGCATGTTTTATTAAATATTTTGATAATGTGGATGTTTACACTTTGCATGATATTAGCAGAGTACTTTGCCACAAATAATGCACAAAACATGTACAATATGATCATTCATAACCGATTTTTATAGAATACTTTTTACATGTGTAACTCCATCTGTTATGTAAGGACTATATGAATAATGCACATTCTCCTCTGGTTTCACAAACCCATTTATACATATTTCTTAGTGAGCCTCATTGTACATGTATTGAAGCCTGAATCGAGTCAAGAAAAATAAAGCCCCATTCTCCAGCTGCGAAATGTGCTTTCCCATAATGAACAATAGTCACCAGCACAGAATAATCTCCAACATTTTCTAAATTCTAATTGCCAACTGTTTCTATTTATACTTGATTTCTATTTCATTTGGAGTCTGTTACATGGCATCTCGGGCAGACTAGATCTTGTTTTTTCCAGTGCAGCATAGCGAGTATGATCTATTTCTTTTCAAATAATCTTTGAGATCCCGGGGCGGGGGGGAAGCTCTGCTCTGTTGAGCTACGATGGAAATGCGCTTGTTTAAAAGGCAGATGAGGCAAGTGAGTGATTTATTGTTCTTGAGGAAATACACGATTTTTCCCCTCATGCTCCAAAAGCTAGTCCTTTCTCTTTCTTAAGAAAAAATGAGTAACCCTTTGTTTTTCACTAACTAGCAAACCATGTCATTTCCTCATTCTTTCTACGTAGTGTTATTAATGCAAGACCTATTCTAGTTATCTATACACAGTGTAAGACGTAACAAACTGAAATGATCCACCTCGTATGTGAGTCCGTCCGAAAGGTGTTACTGCTCTGGGTGGGCCAATGTTCTCTATCAGTTATACTAACCTTCATTTAAAAATATTTATTCTAAAATGCCTCTGAGAAATAGTTAAAAAAAAAAAGAAAAATTAAAAGTTGTCTAAAATGCAACAGCTTTTATAGTATATGTACATTTATAAATAAAATACTCAAATCAACTTTGTACTCTATTAATTGGGGGGTAGGGAGGAGGGGTCAGCTTTCGGACTTGGGGAAGAGAGAATCAGGCTCGCTCCGTTGTAGGTCTGGGGTTACATAGTCAGATGATGGCCATGAAGCATGTTTGCATATGCATCTTGTTCCATTTTTGAGGTCAGCTGTTTAAGGCAAATCGAACTTAGCAGCTGGTTGTAGGAGTCACTAAGGAATTGCCTTCCACGGAAGGATTCAGACTCCTTGAACTGAGACACACAGTCACCAGGAGAGACCCTGCAAATGCCAGTGGAAATTATCTGAAACAACCAAATGCTGGAGCGTTTCCAGCACTGGCCAGAGAGAACCAAGCCAAGCCCTTGAAGTCGCTAGATTTTGCTACTGTCCTTAGCGCTTCTCCAATGTTCCCTCTCACTGTCTACATATAGTCATTTCACTGAGGGCTTTTTTCTCCATTGTTGAACCAGGAAATTTGCTGCAAAACAGAGGCTTCCTTCTGATGCCGTGAACTTTCCACAATACACATGGACCTTCCCTGGCCCTCTGTCCCAGATTTGTAAGTTGTGCTGCTAAAAGCAAGCAAATTCTGTGAAAGCTCCCGTCGCTCTAAGACACAGTGTTCTAATTGCTACCATGGATTTGTATTCTGGTTCTTTTTGCCAAGTGCGGTAGGCAGCTAGTGGTTGCCACCCTTTCCATAGATAAGTGACTTCTTTCCCTTGCCTGAGAGAGTTTGAGTAGCTCTCAGGCAGTGGCCTATATCCATCCTTACTTAAATGAGATTCCGTTCAACTACAAAGAGAAGATTGTTATCACAACATGTGCTCTCTAGAGAATGTCTTTACCAAAAGAATAACATTCTACCTCAGACCTGCTGGACTAGCTTGCTTTCCAGGACTTGCTTCAAGACCTAAGGACTTCTTGGTAGGGTCCAAATTTAGACCACAAAGGACACCGCCCCATCCTTTGACATGATCAGAGTCAGGGGGTTACAAACTCAAGTGACTGGAGGGACCAGTTATGTACTGTAGGAACCAAAAGCGGGGAATAGAGTGGTGTAGACTATAGCAAACGGGCAAAAGAACAGTTCTGTCTCAAGAAAGAGGCGGCTACCTGACTCCAAGCAATTGTTTGCATATGAAATCTGCAGCCTTTTAAATGTTGACAACAATTCAAAACACTTCCCAATGTGTGCCAAGCCAACTTGTGAGACCCCCCCCCCTAAAATACATCTGCAAGTCTAAGTTTGTCCTCAGGCCACCTGTTTACAACCCACAGTTAATCTTCTCTCGGCTTTTCCATCAGCTGCTACACACTTGCTTTCCTAAGTGTCATTTCCTTTGACAAACATACCAAGAAATGACTGAGGAAAATACTTACTTTCGGAGGGTCTTGGGTCATTCCGAGAAAGAAGCTCAAAGAGCCGTCGATCAGCCAGTTGTATTGCTACGATTTGTAACACTTTTGGGCAGCATTGTTCGTGTATTGTCCCCAAAGACGGCTATTTTAGAAGCCCCCATGTTCAGCATTTTCCCAAACCACGCCCTTCCCCTTAATAGTTCTTCCCGAGTGACTCGAAACCACAGGAAAATGTTTATACATAACAAAGTAGAACTTTTCCTAAACTTCTTGAGCATTATTTCATCAAAGGTGGTTGTGCCAGCATCGTTTCATTTATCAAAAAGCATTTTGGGGACACCTGGGTGGCTCAGCGTGTTAAGCGTCTGCCTTCGGCTCAGGTCATGATCTCAGGGTCCTGGGAGTGAGTCCCACATAGGGCTCTCTGCTCAGTGGGGAGCCTGCTTCTCCCTCTGCCTGCCACTCCCCCTGCTCATGCTCTCTCTCTCTCTGACAAATAAATAAATAAAATCTTTTTAAAAAGCCAGCATTTTTGGCATGTATATATACATCTTGTTATTCCATAGGCGAGAAATGAGGTATAATAGGAATAAGTGACTTACTCTGGATGAGTATAAGATGTTACATAATTGTGTATTTCATCAACCATCTCCAATCAGCGGTGACTAGGTTAACCTCCTATTCAACTATGCTCAGCTCTCGTGTCTGGGACCTCACACGAGACCAACAAGGAGGACCTCTGAGCAGAGCTGGAATTTGGCAGAATTTAATCGACACTCAAATGGGGGAGCAGAACATTCTTTTTATAGTGAATGTATACTTAAAAATTCTCAAATGGACTTAGAATTCCATTTTTACCCCCTAGGATTTGATTTCTTTCTCTGAGAAGACAGACAAGAGCTGGCCCTTGGGACGTGACATTGGGCATCTTAGCATTTGCTGGAACGGATGCTAAAGGGTCTCTCCAGCAGAGCCCCACTGACCTCTGCCCTGACATATGACACTCCCAAAGCCCCTCTACCCTCCCCAAATCTGGTCTCCAGAGCTGGGAAAAAGTAGCCTGCCTGATAACACGTTTGTCCGGCCCAAGTTTTGTTTCACAATGGGACCTCCACTTTCTCAACCTCAACAGCAAAGGCCTGAACAAAGGAAGGGTCTCTTTCTAACCACCCCAATGGGGAAATGACCCTGAGGGCACAGCGCAGTGATTCCTATGTCACAATATTATTTCACTGCTAACAGATTCACTGACAACACTAAATCAAGGCATTTCATTTTTCCAGCAAGAATAATGACATTATCCAAGAAAACCTGGTTTCTTTATTGTCCACCAAGGAGCCAGAGAATTATTTCAGTGAGCCCCATTGGTTTAGAAAATACTGTGGAAAGTGACTGAAGTATAACTCTAGGAAGCCCCATAAACATTTCATGAAGCACTACACTCCCACTCTCCATGGGCCAGCATGAATTACTATCCCAAGCTCTGATCCTGGAGCATCCAGCAGTTCCTTCTGAATCCATGAAAAGTTTGGATGGTATTTCATGTTTTCCAATACTTTGAAGATTGAGAAGCTACACCTTGTTTATATGATAACACTCTGGGAAACAAGTGGAGTGTTTGATTGGCTAAATGTAGAATGCCTATTCTGAGATGATCCAAGAAAGTTTGAAAAGGAGGACTAATCAAAGTAATTTGCCTTACCAAACAGTAAAATTTACAACAAAGATAAAAATAAACAAGTACATATCTTGGGCAAGAATTAATAAACTAATCATAATTAACACAGCAAAGTGTAGAGCCCAGAAATAGACTCAAATAAGCATGAAAATCTTAGTGTATAATAATAATAATGGTATCATAAATCAGTGGATACAGGAGGAATAGTTAATTAATGTCACCTCTTCACAATAAAATTAATCTCAGATGAATTAAAGTGTTAAGTGAAAACAATGAAAGAATGATAGGTTTAAATATGTTTAAATACATAATAAAGGGAATATTAGGCAAAATTTAAAAGTGATGAAAAACTTGGGTTAATATTCCCAACAAATAAGCCAAAAGGTTAATATCTTCAAATATGAAGTCCTTTGCAAATCAATAGAAAGTGGGCAAAGGAACATTAAAAAGCTGGGCAGAAAAGAAATATAAATGGCCAGTAAACATGAAAAATAATGTTCAACTGTACTGGTGATCAAAGAAATATAAATTAAAACAATGGTAAGACAAGACTCTCCCTACACCCTCCCAAAACAGAAAGTCATTCAATTATATTAAGAACTTAAAACTTCCATATCACAAAAAGAAAGTTTTTAAAAGGCTACAAACAAAGAGAAGTTTTGTCACAGGTACAACCAACAGAGAATTAGTATCCAAACTGTATAAGGAACTTGAAAGTATCAATAAGAAAAATACAAACAGGTCAATTTAAAAAATGGACAAAAAAATGAAGAGTGATATCATAGAAAATATGAACAACCAAAAAAAGCAAAAATATATTCAATTGCATTAAGAAGAAAATGCATATGAAAACCATCATGAATGTCATTTTATGCACACTGAATTGATAAAAATTTAAAACTTTGATGACACCAATAATTAGTGAAGATATGAAGCAATGGAAACTCAAACACTACTGATAAAAATGTATATGGTAAGAAGTTAACATTCAAAATATATAAAGAACTTAAACAACTCAACACTATAAAAACAACTAATCTGATTTAAAAATGGATGGAGAATCTAAATAAACATTTTTTCCATAGAAGACAGGCAGATGGCCAACAGACACAGAAAAAGAGCTCAACATCACTCATCATTTTCCTAATCTCATTTCCTATCTCATTGAGATATCAGCTCACACCTGTCAGAATGGTGAAAATAAAACAACACTTAGAAACAAGTGTTGGTGAGGATGTGGAAAAAAGAAAATCCTCAAGCACTGTCGATGGGAATACAAAATGGTGCAGCCACTGAGGAAAAGAGTATGGAAATTTCTCAAAAAAATTAAAATTAGAACTACCATATGATCTGGTAATTCCACTACTGGATATTTATCAAAAAAACAAAAAACAAACAAACAAACAAAACACTAATTGGAAAAAATGCATTGACCCTTATGTTTATTTACATATACATGACCCTGATGTTATTATTTACAATAGCCAAAATACAGAAGCAACCCAAGCATCCATTGATAGATAAATGGATAAAGAAGATGTACTTTATGCGTGCACATGCACAGACACACACACACACACGCACACAGGCAGGAATATTACTCGGCCATAAAAAAGAACTACTAGCCATTAGCAACAACATAGATGGACCTAAAGTAAAATAAGTCAGCCAGAGAAAGAAAAATACCATACGATTTCACTCCTATATGGATTTGAGAAACAAAACAAATAAATAAAAAGATAAAAAGATTAAAAAAAGAAAAACTCCACTCTTAAATTGAGAGAACAAAATGGTGGTTTCCAGATTGCAGAGGGGGTGTGAAATAGATTTTTTTTCAAAGATTATATATTGGTAAATAATTCTATTAGCTTAGTGAAACTGATGAAGCTCGTACCCCTTAATGTAGCAATTTCACATCTAAAACATAACTACCTTAGCCTAAACTCTAGAGAAACTCAAAGTTTCACA